ACAATGGATAAGAAAACATGTCTACACTGCAATACACATCCAATATATTGTTGAATTGTTGGAAGAAAAGTCTTCATCCTGGTTCAGTCCAAGCCGGGGATAAACAACATGGCAACTGCTTTAGAAAGAAGGCTGCAATTTATTAAACAGCCAGACAGAAAGATGGTTCTGGAGAAAAGAGGAGAGAAAAGGGCTGAGCACATGTGGGGAGTGGGTTTTTATACCCTCTGGAGCATTTTGTTTGGAGCTGCTTCCTGTTCCTGTGGCATAAACTTTGACCAGAGTCTGAGTATACTTTCCTGGTATTCTGATGGTGATAGGTTAATCCTATTATGTCGAAAAGGTCATATCCTACTTCCCTGGGGCTGGGGCTGATGATTCTTAAAGTTTGGATGGGGTAGGAAGATTTTAGGTCTTTGTCTTCTTAATCTCCTACCTCCCTGGATTTACATCTGTATTTCTATAGAGCTGGTTTCTGCTTGGGACTATTAAGAAAACTGGGCATGCTTTCCTGCCTCTTTAAGATTCTTGGAGGGAATATATTTTTCTGCCCTTTTAATATATCCTTCTCTGGGGGCTGACTTCCCACAGTATTTCATTTATTACCCTGACTCTTATGAGAATTTTATATAACATCAGAAAATTTCAAAAAAGCTGGATTAAAGAGTGGACACATAGTCTTTTTTATAAAAAACAACAACAAAACAAAACAAAAACCAAACAAAACCAAAATGTAAAATAAGAGACAATTTTACCCTTCCTCTCCTCTCTTCTCCCCTCCTCACTTTTGACACTGGGGGGCAATGTTGTCACATGAAACCCCACGGCCTCTGCACCTAGTGGGGGGTGGGGTAGGGAATAAAACAAGGATCATTCAATATTCTTTCATTCTGGAGTCATGACTTTTTTTTCTATGTTATTTCATTTCATTTCATGAGATAAAAACACCTCGTGAAAATTTCACATCTCCGGAGTGTATATTTCTTTGAACTTATATACCACTTCATAGTGCTTTACTCTCTATGTGGTTTACAGAGTCAGCATGTTGCCCTCAACAATCTGGGTCCTCATTTTACTGACCTCAGAAGGATGGAAGGCTGAGTCAGTCATGAGCCAGTCAGGATCGAACTGCTGACAGGTAGCAGAGTCAGCTTGTAATCCCGCATTCTGACCCGGGCTCAGTATAATGCAACTATAGGTTTCAACTTGTTCCTCTTGGCCTGCTCTGCATTATTTGGGTTTTGGGTTTCTTCAAAAGAATGTGAAACAAATACTTTGAACTCAGCTACTGTATATCATCTTTTTTTCAGGGTTGGTCTCTAATATGGCTGTTTTAGGAAACTTCAGCACATGATTTCATTCTTTCCTCACTGAACTGTTTCTTGAAGTGAGGGAGTTGTGTTAGTTCTTGCTTTACTTACGTCAGTGTAAATATCTCCTTTCCCTGTGTACTGACAAGGAAAGACATGAAGGTCTGGACTGTTCCTAGGACAGAACCTAATTTGATATCCACGTTAGAAATCTATGTGCAAAGAATTATATAAATAAAAGCAGTTTTGTGGCACTTTTAGCCTTATGTAAATCGAGGCATAATTTCCGCTTTAAAGGAAGCAGTTGCTTTTCCTTTTCAGAATACACCATCAACTTAAAGTGTGTGGACTGGGGTGACATGATAACAGTATCCTAGTATTTGAGGGGCTGCCATAAAGAAAAGGGGTCAACCTATTTTGCAAAGCACCTAAAGGTACGCCAAGAAACAATGGATGGAAAATATGCAGGGAGAGAAATTGGACAACCATTTGACTGAAATGCTATAGGATTTCCTGCCTGATTAAGGGGCTGGGCTAGAAGACCTCCATTGTCCCTTCCAACTCTGTTATTCTATTCTATTCTATTCTATTCTATTCTATTCTATTCTATTCTATTCTGTTCTGTTCTGTTCTGTTCTGTTCTGTTCTGTTCTGTTCTATTCTATTCTATTCTATTCTATTCTACCCAATGCCAAATATTGGCAAGTTTTCTTTCATGACTGAGGCTAGAATTGGATGTTGGACAAATCAAACTGCTGGCAGTCGGCAGAATTATATTGCAATACTCTATCCTATTCACTGCACCACCACAGCTCTTAATACAATAAAGAGGCTTGTTTTATCTCCAGTGATATGCAAATAGAGGCACAGTTTGACCTTCAAAGGAAGAGGAGGAGAGAGTGAGAGGGAAAGGGAAAGGAAAGGGAAAGGGAAAGGAAAGGAAACTAAAGGAAAGCTCTTTTCAGTTTTCATAAGATATTAAAGTTAGGAGAAAATCATGCTTATAATGTCTATGCAAGGAAAGCTATGAGACCAATGCACTGAGAGGCCCTTTTATAGAAAGCGATAGAGTTTCCTTCCATTTACTCTTCTTGAACTGTATATAGGAGATTTTACTCTAGCCCCTTTCTTTCCAGGGGTCTAGTCTGAGGTCCCCTTGGTGGGGTCTGAAGGGCCTATGAGGAGGCCTAGACTGCCTCTCAATTAGCTTCCCCATCTTTGTATGAAATGGCTGAGAGAGGCACCTGACAAAGCACTGCAATAAATGGCATAAATCAAGGTTCCTATATTATTTAATACATGGGTAAATGGAAGGGATGTTTCACCTGCTCTGAAAACAAATTATATTAGTGAATGAAAAACCGGAAACCAGAACATAAATTTATAACTTAATATTATTTGAAAATCACAGGGGTAAACTCTATCCAAAGAAATCTATAAGCAGGTGCCCTGACGGGCTCTTTTATCCCAAGCAATATGTAAATTGAGGCCCAATTTCCTCTTTAAAGTCATGGTTTCCCTTTTCAGGCAACACCCACCAACACAAAATTTGTTCATCAACTAGAATCCTTTCCTATCCATTATGCTCCACTCATTTGAGGGAGCAAAAATGATCCTGTGGTTAAACCTAGTGTCCTTTCTAGCAGTCCTCAGAGGTATTTCTGTCCTCTGTATTCAGCTTTTTTTTCTATTTTAGTTCTTGTGTATAGGAGAGCTCACTGAAACTTCTTTCATTTTAGGTGTCCGATCAGAAGTTCTGTTGGTGGAGTCTGGAGGGGATGTGAGAAGCCCTGGAGGGTCCCTCCGTCTCACCTGCCAAGCCTCTGGATTTGATTTCAGCAGCTATGAAATGAGCTGGGTGAGACAGGCTCCAAGGAAAGGCCTGGAATGGGTGGCCTATATAGATACAGACTCATCTCCCATTTACTACTCAGACAAAGTGAAGGGACGCTTCACCATCTCCAGGGACGATGCCAAAAGCCAGATGTATCTGCAAATGAACAGGCTCAAAGCTGACGACACAGCAATCTATTACTGTGTGAGAGACACAGTGAGAGGAAGTGAATCTGAAGCAAAGCAAAAACTGCCCCTTTCACATAGCAGCTCTGAGAATTTCTTTGAAACCTTAGAATTCTAACACTGTATGTGTGCCTCCCTTGGTCATCTTACCCACCAGGGGGCGCTATCCTCACACAGATGTTGGCATGGGGGAGGATATGGAAATTAAACCACTGTGTACAAGCAATATATAACTTCCAAGGCAGAACTTTTCCATCTGATATGCTTAGAAAATTCACCAAATTGGTCTCAAGGGAATGTTACTTCTCAAGAGACCACAATTTCTTCCGTAAAGCCATGTCTGAGTTCAGAACAGAATGTGCCTTGCTAACTCTAGAAGTCAGAAATTTTTCCCAAGCAGAAAATATCATATTCATTCTTGGACTGAGTGCACAATATGACGTTATGATTTGATTACTTTGATTATTTCCCTCCAACATGGTGGGGAACTGAGTTCTATGCCTTACAAATTGTGTTTTACACCCTAGTGTGTATGCAGTTAATATCAGCTTCTTCAAAACAAAACCTTGTTAAAGAAACAAAGGTTTCTGAACTGAAATATACTATATTTTTAAGCTCTGTCTCTAACATCTCTGTACAAACATTTTCCCTTTACCTAAAGAAAGCTTGTTGTATTTGTACATATCAAATTTAAAAGGAAAAAGTTTAGACTTGATTGTTCTTAAACTTTCACATTATTGAAAAAAATCATCTTTATATGACACCTCAAAGAATGTTATTTGAGATTTTGAGACAAGTTTGACATTGGGACAAATGTGTATAGCAATAGCAATAGCTCTTAGACTTACATACCACTTCATAGTGCTTTACTCTCTAAGTGGTTTACAAAGTCAGCATATTGCCCTCAACAATCTGAGTCCTCATTTTACTGACCTCAGAAGGATGGAAGGCTGAGTCAGCGTTGAGCTGGTCAGGATCAAACTGTTGACAGTCAGCAGAGTCAGCCTGTAATACTGCATTCTGACCAATGCATCCCCAGGGCTCAGTATAATTCAAGTGTGGCTTTCAAATTGTTCCTCTTGGCCTGCTCTGCATTATTGTTATGGGTTTCTTCAAAAGAATGTGAAAGAAACATGAAGCAAATACTCTGAACTCAGGTGTATCATCTTTTTCAGGTTGGTCTCCAATATGGCTATTTAAGGAAACTTCAGTACACGATTTCATTTTTTCCTCACTGAACTGTTTCTTGAAGTGAGGGAGTTGTGTTAGTTCTTGATTTACTTACTTCAGTGTAAATATCTCCTTTGCTTTTGTACTGATAATGAAAGACATGATGGTCCGGACTGTTCCTAGGATAGAACCTAATTTGAAATCCATGGGAGAAATCTATGTGCAAAGAATTATATAAATAAAAGCAGTGATGTGGCACTTTTAGTCTTATGTAAATCGAGGCACAATTTCCACTTTAAAGGAAGCAGTTGGTTTTCCTTTTCAGGATACACCATCAACATAAAGGCTTTTCAAGGCTTTGGTTTAATTGCTCTAATTAAAGGATGTCTTCAGTTTTGTTTAGACTGGAGAGTTATTGATAGATCACCCATGTGAGGAGCATGCAATGAAAACTAGGAGGGAAATGCACTGAGGAGTTCTTTTATCTCACCCAATATGTAAATCGAGCCACTATTTCTCCTTTAAAGGAGTCAGTTGGTTTTATTTTTAAGGCTACACCCACTAACAGAAAGTTTGTGCATTCTCCAGAATCCTTTCCTATCCATTACTCTCCATTCATTTGGGGGAACAAAAATGATCCTGTGGCTAAACCTGGTGTCCTTACTAGCAGTCCTCAGAGGTAATTCTTTCCTCTGTGTTCAGCTTTTTCCATTTTAATTCTTGTTTACTGTAGAACTCATTCAAACTCCTTTCATTCAGGTGTTCGATCTGAGGTTCAGTTGGTGGAGTCTGGAGGGGATGTGACAAGACCTGGAGGGTCCCTCCGTCTCTCCTGCCAAGCCTCTGGATTCACCATCAGCAGCTATTACATGAGCTGGGTGAGACAGGCTCCAGGGAAAGGCCTGGAATGGGTGGCAAGTATATATTCTTCATATATTTACTACTCTGACAAAGTGAAGGGTCGCTTCACCATCTCCAGAGACGATGCCAAAAGCCAGCTGTATCTGCAGATGAACAGCCTCAAAGCTGAAGACACAGCAGTCTATTACTGTGCGAGAGACACAGTGAAAGGAAGTGAATCTGGAGCTTGGCAAAAACCTGCCATTCATCAGAGCAGCCCTGCCAGTCCATTCAGCCCCAGAAGTCTGCCTTTTTCAATGAGGGGAGGCTGAGGAAGCTGCCTAATTGTCAGGAAGAAGATATTTATCTACTTGAATTTGCTGCAAGATGCTAGGTTGGCAGGAGCTGGGACAAGTAACGGGAGATCACCCATCGCACGATACTCGTTTCAAATCAGGCTGCCAGTTTTCAACCTGTATAAACCTGCACTTTCTCCTATGTACTCACAATAAAAAGTATGATGGACTGTTCCTAGGACTGAACCTCCTTTGAAATCCATGTGTGAAATCAGCACGTGATTTCATTCTTTCCTCACTGAACTGTTTCTTGGAGTGAGGGAGTTATGTTATTTCTTGCTTTACTTACTTCAGTGTAAATATCTCCTTTCCTTGTGTACGGATAATGAAAGACATGACGGTCCGGACTGTTCCTAGGACAGAACCTAATTTGAAATCCACGTGAGAAATCTATGTGCAAAGAATTATATAAATAAAAGCAGTGATGTGGCACTTTTAGCCTTATGTAAATCGAGGCACAATTTCCACTTTAAAGGAAGCAGTTGGTTTTCCTTTTCAGAATACACCATCAACATAAAGTGTGTGGATTGGGGTGACATGATAACAGTGTCATAGTATTTGAAGGGCTGCCATAAAGAAGAGGGGGTCAACCTATTTTGCAAAGCACCTAAAGGTACGCCAAGAAACAATGGATGGAAAATATGAAGGGAGAGAAGCAACCTAGAACTAAGGAGAAATTTCTTAACAGTGAGAACAATTAACCAGTGGAACAGCTTGCCTTCAGAAGTGATAAAACTATCAGTGAAATTTATGTGCAAAGAAATATATAACTAACCCACCTCAGAAGGATGGAAGACTAAGTTAACTTTGAACCAGTTGAACGTTTTTAAGAAACATTTGACTGAAATGTGATAGGGTTTCCTGCCTGAGTAAGGGGCTGGAATAAAAAACCTCCATGGTCCCTTCTAATTCTATTCTATTCTATTCTATTCTATTCTATTCTATTCTATTCTATTCTATTCTATTCTATTCTATTCTACCCCTGATGCCAAATATTGGCAATTTTTCTTTCATGATTGAAGCTAGAATTGGATGTTGGACAAATCGAACTGCTGGCAGTCGGGAGAATTAGATTGCAACACTCTATTCTATCCACTGCACCACCACAGCTCTTAATACAATGAAGAGGCTTTTTTATCCCCAGTGAAATGCTAATTGAGGCACAATTTGCCCTTTAAGGGAAGGGGAGGGGAGAGGAGGGGAGAGGGAAAGGGAGAGGGAAAGGAAAGGAGAGGAGAGGAAAGGAGAGGAGAGGAGAGGAAAGGAAAGGGAAGTTCTTTTCAGTTTTCATAAGACGGTAAAGTTAGGTGAAAATCATGATTATAACGTATATGCAAGGAAAGCTATGAGACCAATGCACTGAGAGGCCCTTTTATAGAAAGCAATAGAGTTTCCTTCCATCTACTCTTCTTGTACTGTATATAGGAGATTTTACTCTAGCCCCTTTCTTTCCAGGGGTCTAGTCTGAGGTCCCCTTGGTGGGGTCTGAAGGGCCTATGAGGAGGCCTAGACTGCCTCTCAATTAGCTTCCCCATCTTTTATATGAAATTGCTGAGAGAGGCACCTGACAAAGCGCTGCAATAAATGGCATCAATCAAGATTCCTATATTATTTAATACATGGGTAAATGGAAGGGATGTTTCACCATCTCTGAAAACAAATTATATTAGCAAATGAACAACTTGAAATCAGAGCGTAAATTTATAACTTAATGTTATTTGAAAATCACAGAGGTAAAGTCTACCCAAAGAAATCTATAAGTGAGTGCTCAGAGGGGCTCTTTTATCCCAAGCAATATGTAAATTGAGGCACAATTTGCTCTTTAAAGTCATGGTTTCCCTTTTCAGGCAACACCCACCAACACAAAGTTTCCTATCGATTACGGTCCATTCATTTGAGGGAGCAAAAATGATCCTGTGGCTAAACCTGGTGTCCTTTCTAGCAGTCCTCAGAGGTATTTCTATCCTCTGTATTCAGCTTTTTTTCCACTCTAGTTCTTGTGTACAGGAGAGCTCACTGAAACTCCTTTCATTTTAGGTGTCCGATCTGAGGTCCTGTTGGTGGAGTCTGGAGGGGATGTGAGAAGCCCTGGAGGGTCCCTCCGTCTCACCTGCCAAGCCTCTGGATTCACCTTCAGCAGCTATTACATGGGCTGGATGAGACAGGCTCCAGGGAAAGGTCTGGAATGGGTGGCCTATATAGGTACAAGCTCATCTCCGATTTACTACTCTGACAAAGTGAAGGGTCGCTTCACCGTCTCCAGAGACAATGCCAAAAGCCAGATGTATCTGCAAATGAACAGCCTCAAAGCTGAAGACACAGCAATGTATTACTGTGCAAGAGACACAGTGAGAGGAAGTGAATCTGAAGCTAAACAAAAACCTGCCATTCATCAGAGGAGCCCTGCAAGTCCATTCAGCCCCAGAAGGCTGCATTTTTCAATGTGGGGAAACTGAGGAAGTGCTGACTGCCAGGAGGAAGAAAGAGATGATCTTGATATCTGCAGTTTGGAAGCTGTTTTCCAATTGGAGGGGAGGAAACCAAATAAATCTCAGTAAAGGCAATAAACTGAGTAATTAAACAGGATAAAAATCTCCTGAAAGACAGCAATGGCAAAGTGCTCACAAGTTCTGCTCTCAGAAAATATTTAGAAAAATAAAAATGTCTTCCTTAATTAGAACTCTTTATTCTTTTATTGGATTTGTTCGGTGTCAGTTTGCCTGTTTACAAATTGATCTGTGTTCAGGAAAAAAGCAACAACCTTGAATTAAATGTAGCCCTTTAGTATCATGACAGAAGGCAGGAAATGAAACTTTATGATCATCTTTTTAAATATCCAAACTGCCATACAACTATTGAGGAAACATCTGGATCTAAAGAATCTCCTTGGAGAATTAGGAAGATGCCTCCCCTCCTCACTTTTGACACTGGGGAGCAATGTTGTCACATGAAACCCTACTGCCTCTGCATCTTGTGGGTGTGGGATAGGGAATACAGTAAACAATTGTCATCATATATTCTCTCATTGTGGAGCATGACCATTTTTTATGTTATTTCCGTAATAAGTTACTGAAAACATCTTAAGAAAAAATTATATTACAGGAGGGGATAATTCTCATCATCAAGTTTAATGTATTTTTTATAAAATGTTTTTTTTTATAAAATGATGTACTTATGTTTGAAGTTACTTCATTTTTTCCATGATATGCAAACAACATGTATAGCATGCATGTATATGTACATACATATACATACACATACATATATGAGCTAAAACAAGATGGATCGATGACATCAGCAAGTATTGTGGTCCCAACTGGCAAAAGAAATCTCAGGAATGTATTGGTTGGAAATGTGTGGAAGAAGCCTTCATCCTGCATTGGATAGACAGTGGCTAAACTGATGATGATAATACACACACACACACACAAATGGTACTGTATAGTGTCTCCTGCTTGAGCAGAAGGTTGGATTAGAATATTCCAAGGTGCCTTCCAGCTCTGTTATTCTGTTATTCCTGTTATGAAATATCTACTAAACTCAGAGGTGCTGTCCTGTTCATGTTCTATATCTAAAGTGTCTTTCTCAAAAATTCTTAGTGAATGTTTATCATCTGTAACCTTGAATCAATTCTGAGAAGTGGTGAACTTTTTGAAAGCTTTGATTTAATTGCTCTAATTAAAGGATGTCTTCAGTTTTGTTAAGACTGGAGAGTTATTTATAGATCACCCATGTTCGGAGTGAGCAATGAAAACTAGGAGAGAAATGCACTGAGGAGTTATTTTATCTCAACCAATATGTAAATTGAGCCACTATTTCTCCTTTAAAGGAGTCAGTTGATTTTACTTTTCAGGCAACACCCACCAACACAAAGTTTGTGCATCAACCAGAATCCTTTCCTATCTATTACACTCCATTCATTTGAGGGAGCAAAAATGATCCTGTGGTTAAACCTGTCCTTACTAGCACTCCTCAGAGGTATTTCTGTCCTCTGTATTCAGCTTTTTTTCCCATTTTAGTTCTTGTGTACAGGAAAGCTCACTGAAACCCCTTTCCTTTTAGGTTTTCAATCTGAGGTTCTGTTGGTGGAGTCTGGAGGGGACATGAGAAGCCCTGGAGGATCCCTCCGTCTCACCTGCCAAGCCTCTGGATTCACCTTCAGCAGCTATGTTATGAACTGGGTGAGACAGGCTCCAGAGAAAGGCCTGGAATGGGTGGCCTTTGTACACACAGGGTCAACTTCCACTTACTAATCAGACAAAGTGAAGGGCCGCTTCACCATCTCCAGAGATGATGCCAAAAGCCAGCTGTATCTGCAAATGAACAACCTCAAAGCTGAAGACACAGCAGTCTATTACTATGTGAGAGACACAGTGAGAGGAAGTGAATCTGGAGCTTGGCAAAAACCTGCCATTCATCAGAGCAGCCCTGCAAGTCCATTCAGCCCCAGAAGGCTGCCTTTTTCAATGAGGGGAAACTGAGGAAGTGCCTGATTTTCATGAGGAAGAAGGAGATGATCTTGATATCTGCAATTTGGAAGCTGTTTTCCAATTGGAGGGGAGGAAACCAAATAAATCTCAGTAAAGGAAATAAACTGAGTAATTAAACAGGAAAAAAATCTCCTGAAAGACAGCAGTGGCAAAGTTTTCACAAGTTCTGCTCTCAGAAAATATTTAGAAAAATAAAAATGTCTTCCTTAATTGTTGTTGTTGTTGTTAATTGCGAAGTCGTGTCCGACCCATCATGACCCCATGGACAACGTTCCTCCAGGTCTTCCTGTCCTCTACCATCTTCTGGAGTCCATTTAAGTTCTCACCTACTGCTTCAGTGACTCCATCCAGCCATCTCATTCTCTGTCGTCCCCTTCTTCTATTGCCTTCAAACTTTCTCAGCATTAGGCCCTTTTCCAGTGAGTCCTTCCTTCTCATTAGGTGGCCAAAGTATTTGAGTTTCAATTTCAGGATCTGGCTTTCCTTAATTAGAACTCTTTATTATTTTATTGGATTTGTTTCAGTGTCAGTTTGCCTGTTTACAAAGTGATCTGGGTTCAGGAAAAAAACAAGAACCTTGAATTAAATGTAGCCCTTTAGTATCATGACAGAAGGCAGGAAATGAAAGTTTATGATCATCTTTTTAAATATCCAAACTGCCATACAACTATTGAGGAAACATCTGGAATCTCCTTGGAGAAGTAGGAAGATGCCTCCCCTCCTCACTTTTGACACTGGGGGGCAATCTTGTCACATGAAACCCCAGGGCCTCTGCACCTGGTGGGTGTGGGGTAGGGAATACAGTGAAACAAGTGTCCTCAGATATTCTCTCATTGTGGAGCATGACCATTTTTTATAATTTTTATTAAGTACAAAGAAAAAAAAAAGAATTAAAAACATTGAACATGGTAAATCGTCTTTGACTAACATCTCAGTCCATATTGTACATTAATTACATATAATATACCTATATACAACTATTCATTTCTAGTCTCTATCTCAATTTATCTCTTTATTTGTGACCTCCATTTTTCTTTCCCTCCATCTATAAAATTTATTCCATATTTGATAAAATTTTGTTTCTTCCTGATTTTTTAATCTTTTAGTTATTCTACCTAGTTCTGCACAATATATAATTTTATTTACTAGTGCTCCCCCACTCGGTACTTCCACTGCTTTCCATTTTTGAGCAAATAATGTCCTTGCTGCTGTGACCACATGGATAATTAAATATGTGTCCTCTTTATTTACATTTTTCTCTAGTATTCCTAATAGTAATGTCTCTGGTTTGTATTGAATGTTTTGCCTAGTCCAGGGGTAGGCAACCCAAAACACTCAAAGAGCCACTTGAACCTGTTTCCCACCAAAAACAAAACACTGGGAGCCGCAAAACCCTTTTGATATCTAAAATGAAGATAACACTGCATATATCCTTTTTTATCTTTATTATAGAGGTGTGTGTGTGTGTGTGAGAGAGAGAGAGAGAGAGAGAGAGAGACAATTTGTGTGTGTGTGTGTGTATATATACACACACACACATTAAAAATAAAAGTAAAAATATGACTCTTGGGAATATCCATACTATTAAAACAATGATCACCGAGAGAATGCTTTAAGAGAATAAAATTAAATACACACACAGGTAAAAAAAGGATATATGCAGTGTTATCTTCATTTTAGATGTCAAAAGGGTCTCTCTCTCTCTGTCTCTCTCCCTCCCTCCCTCCCTCTCTGCCCTTGGTCTGCCATTCCTCTTCCCCCACTCTCTTTCTTTCTCTCTCTTTCCTCTCTCTCTCCCCCTCCCTCTCTCTCTCTCTCTCTTTCTCTCTCTCTCTTTCTCCCCCCCTCCTATCTGCTGCTCACCTGCTGCTCAAGCTTCAAGTTGTTCTCCAATAATCTCAGGGGTAGGCAACCTCGTCTCTTTTATGACTCATGGACTTCAACTCCCAGAATTCCTGAGTCAGCCTAGCTGGGCTAGTTGGCTCTCTCCTGCCCTTCCTGCTTCCTGCTTCCTGCAGAGATGCAGCAAAGGGAGGAGCTCCGCCCAGTAAGCTTTTCAGCTCCTTGGAGAACACTGTGAGTGCACTCTCTTTTACACACACACACACACACACAACACACACACAAAACACACACACACACAACACACACACAAAACACACACACACAGACACACACAGAGAAAGAGAGAGAGAGAGAGAGAGAGAGAGAGAGAGAGAGAGAGAGAGAGAGAGAGAGAGAGAAGCAGGGAAGCGCAATTGCCTCTCTCTGTCTCTGTCTCTCTCTACAAAGGCAGAGGAGGCTGGGAGCCACAGGTTGCCGACCTGTGGCCTAGTCATTTCTATTGCCCAATCCCAGACTATATGCCAATACACCTGTGCTTTTCTACATGTCGACCATACATTAAAAAAGGTGCCCTTTTCTTTTTTACATTTCCAACACATAGTTGAATATCTGTTATACATTTTGGCTAATCTGGCCAGAGGGAGATGCCATCTGTAAACCATTTTATACAGGTTTTCTTTATATGATGTCGCCACTGTGATTTTGTTATTTCGCTCCCATACTTGCTGCCATTGATCCCTATTTATAATATATCCTAGATCTATTGCCCATGTCAGCATTATTTCTTTAACCTGCTCCTCATATAGCTTATGTTCCAACAGGTGTTTATAAAAAAAATTTATTTTTTTTTCTCCAGGCCAAGCAGTATTTTATCTAACCCCGTATCTTGTCTGTTAATTCCCCATTCTTGCTTATCCTTCATGTATTTTGCTTGAATCTGGAGATAAGACCACCACTCCATGTTTATTCCTTGTTGTTTTAGCTCTTGTTTTTGTTTTAAATAACCTTCTTCTGTCAAGATGTCTTTATATATAATAGCTTTATCTATCCTGTACAAATTGGGGTATGTGACTGCCTCCAATGGCGATAGCCAAGCCAGGATCTTTGTGTAATATTGATGTTTAACTGTGTTCCAACTTTTTATTAATTCTTGCCGAACCTTATGCCTTAAAAAATATTGGTGGTTTCCGCTTTGCCCAATCCATATGTGAGCATGTCAGCCCTGCTGGAGTCACAACCCTCTAAATATAAACATCTTTTATTTTCTAAGGTTATCCAGTCTCTAATCCATGTTAGGGCCGCTGCTTGGTAATATAACTCCCAATCTGGGAAACCTAAACCTCCCCTCTCTTTGACATCCTGTAGTGCCTTTAATTTTATTCTTGCCTTCTTATGGACGACACAAATTCTAAGGTTAATTTATTCAGCTCCTTGAAAAATTTCTTGTCTAATTGAATTGGAATATTCTGAAACAGGAACATCATTTTAGGTAAGATGTTCATTTTCACTGCGGCAATTCTCCCGAGTAATGAGAGATGTTTAGCGGTCTAAATCTAGTTTTATATTCTTGACCAATTTGCCATAATTGTCTTCTTTAATTGATGAGCAGCGAGCTGAAATAACTATCCCTAAATATTCTAATTTGGAAACTACTTGTATACCTAATTTTGCCTCAAGGTTTCCTTTTTGTATGTTGGTCATGTTTTTTGTGATAATCTTTGTTTTGTTTCTATTTATTTTCAAACCTGCCAGATCCCCATACTTTTCCAATATTTCGAATAATTTCTGGCCTGATTGTTCTGGGTCTTCTAATATAAATGCTAAGTTGTCTGCATAAGCTTGAAGTTTGTATGTTTCTTTCTTGATCTTAAGTACTTTAATCTGCTCTTCTTGTCTTACTACGCTAGCAAGAATTTCTAATGTATATATGAATAACAATGGTGAGAGAGGACATCCGTGTCTTGTGCCTTTCTGTATGTTGAATTTATCAGTGGCCTCTCTATTTATTATAATCTGGGTCTTTTGTTCAGAATATATTGCGGTTATCACATTTAATTTTTTTTCCCCAACATCCATTGATTTTAGTTATTGGATCATAAAATACCAATTAACATTGTCAAAAGCCTTCTGTGCATCAAGGAACAGAAGTGCCATTTGACGATCGCTATGCGATTCATAAAATTCAAGGATGTCGTAAATTGTTCTTATATTCCGCTTAGTCTGCCTGTTTGGTAAAAACCCATTTTGATCCAAATGTATGAAATCAACTAGATACTTTTTGAATCTCTCCGCCATTATTGAGGCAAAAATTTTATAATCAGAGTCCAATAATGATATAGGGAGCATGACCATATTTTATGTTATTTCCATAATAAGTTACTGAAAACGTCTTATGAAAAATTTACATTGCAGGAGGGGATAATTCTCATCATGAAATTTAATATATTTTCTATAAAATGTTTTTTTTATATAAAATGATGTGCTTATGTTTAAAGTTACTTCAGTTTTTTCTTTGATATGCAAACTACATTTATATCATGCATGTACATGTACATACACATGTACATGCACATACATATATGACCTAAAACAAGATGGATCGATGACATAAGCAAGTATTGCAGTCCCAATTGGCAAAAGAAATCTCAGGAATGTATTGGTTGGAACTGTGTAGAAGAAGCCTTCATCCTGCACTGGATAGACAGTGGCTAAACTGATGATGATAATACACACACACACACACACACACAAATGGTACTGTATAGTGTCTCCTGCTTGAGCAGAAGGTTGGATTAGAATACTCCGAGGTGCCTTCAGCTCTGTTATTCTGTTATTCCTGTTATAAAATATCTACTAAACTCAAAGGTGCTGTCCTGTTCATGTTCTATATCTAAAGTGTCTTTCTCAAAAATTCTTAGTGAATGTTTATCATCTGTAACCTTGAATCGATTCTGAGAAGTGGTGAACGTTTTCAAAGCTTTGATTTAATTGCTCTAATTAAAGAATGTCTTCAGTTTTGTAAAGACTGGAGAGTTATTTATAGATCACCCATGTTCGGAGTGAGCAATGAAAACTAGGAGAGAAATGCACTGAGGAGTTATTTTATCTCAACCAATATGTAAATTGAGCCACTATTTCTCCTTTAAAGGAGTCAGTTGATTTTACTTTTCAGGCAACACCCACCAACACAAAGTTTGTGCATCCTCCAGAATCCTTTCCTATCCATTACCCTCCATTCATTTGAGGGAGCAAAAATGATCCTGTGGCTAAACCTGGTGTCCTTACTAGCAGTCCTCAGAGGTATTTCTGCCCTCTGTATTCAGCTTTTTTTCCACTTTAGTTCTTGTGTACAGGAGAGCTCACTGAAACTCCTTTCCTTTTAGGTGTCCGATCTGAGGTCCTGTTGGTGGAGTCTGGAGGGGATGTGAGAAGCCCTGGAGGGTCCCTCCATCTCACCTGCCAAGTCTCTGGATTCACCTTCAGCAGCTATGGAATGCACTGGGTTAGACAGGCTCCAGGGAAAGGACTGGAATGGGTTGCTAGAACTGGCGATTATTACTCAGACAAAGTGAAGGGACGCTTCACCATCTCCAGAGACGATGCCAAAAGCCAGCTGTATTTGCAAATGAACAACCTCAAAGCTGAAGACACAGCAGTCTATTACTGTGCGAGAGACACAGTGAGAGGAAGTGAATCTGGAGCTTGGCAAAAACCTGCCATTCATCAGAGCAGCCCTGCAAATCCATTCAGACCCAGAAGGCTTCCTCCTAATTGTCAGGAGGAGGACAGAGCTGATATTGGTATTGCAGTGTTAGAGCATTTTCCAATTGAAAGGGAAAAAAAGAAAAAAACAGGAAACCTCACCAAAGAAAATCAACTGAGTAATTAAACAGGAAAAATAAAAAGCCTCCTGAATGATAGCAATGACAAAATGCTCACAGGTTCTGCTTTCAAAAAATGTTTAGAAATACAAAATTGTCTTTCTTAATTACAGCTCTTTATTCTTTTATTGGATTTGTAGTTCAATCCTTAATTTTTGTTCTTTTTTGACATTCAGGTCTTCCTCCTTCTGTATTTGTGTGCATGCATCTCATTGTCTGTGTCTATATATTCTCTCTCTCTCTCTCTCTGTTGCTTTCCTTCCCTCTCTCTCTCTCTCCTTCCCTCCTTCCCTACACTTACACACACACAAAACTGAAATGTGAACTATGTTGAATATCATATTCATCCTCAAGCAGTAGATATATAGCCATGTAATAAAATAAAGGTTCTCTAAGAAGTACATTCTTTTGTTGTGGTATAACCTCAAGGAAGCAAGCCAAAGTCAAAAAGAAAGGCTTAAAATCTTCAGGCAAATGGCAGCATAAAAGAGGTTATTTTGTAATTGGTTTAAAAATAAAGGAATGTTGATTGGACATCTCAAGTCAATCCTCTAGAAAGTCATATTCTCCACCCCCAAAATAATGACCCAAATAGCTTTAATTCTTCTGAACTATCTCAAGAGCAGCATTGGGGCCACCTCCGCCTTTCTCACATGACCCATTTCAGTTTTCTGGAGTTCAGTAACCTTTGCCCTTTAAGAGCATCTACATCTCCTGGGAGAATGAAGTCCTCTATCTCACATTCACTGGTCTTACATTGGGGGCCACTGTGGTCTGCATAATCCCACAGAATAGGGATCCAGTAGAAAGTGTTTTCAGATGGGATGACCGTTCTGAGACTGATGGTTTCCATTGTTGTCAGTTGAAAAGGAAGTGAAATTAAAGCTCCCTTTACAAAACAACACAAAGTTCACACCAATCTTTCTTACTTCATTCTAAGTGAATTGACTTGAAGGTACAATATGATCCCTTCACCTTTCTCAGCTCCACAAAAGGATAAGTTAAGGGTAACATGGTTTCCTTCACTCAGAAACTATTGGTGGAAAATTGTTTCTTCACCTAACATCATGCTGTTATCTAATCAATTCTACTTTCTTGAAGAAACAATGGATAAGAAAACATGTCTACACTGCAATACACATCCAATATATTGTTGAATTGTTGGAAGAAAAGTCTTCATCCTGGTTCAGTCCAAGCCGGGGATAAACAACATGGCAACTGCTTTAGAAAGAAGGCTGCAATTTATTAAACAGCCAGACAGAAAGATGGTTCTGGAGAAAAGAGGAGAGAAAAGGGCTGAGCACATGTGGGGAGTGGGCTTTTATACCCTCAGGAGCCATTTGTTTGGAGATGCTTCCTGTTCCTGTGGCATAAACTTTGACCCAAGTCTGAGTGTGCTTTCCTGGTATTCTGATGGTGATAGGTTAATCCTATTATGTCCCAAAGATCATATCCTGCTTCCCTTGGGCTGGGGCTGATGATTCTTAAAGTTTGTCTGGGGTATGAAGATTTTAGGTCTTTGTCTTCTTAATCTCCTACCTCCCTGGATTTACATCTGCATCTCTATAAAGCTGGTTTCTGCTTGGAGCTATTAAGAAAACTGGGCATGCTTTCCTGCCTCTTTAAGATCCTTGGAGGGAATATATTTTTTCTGCCCTTTTAATATTTCCTTCTCTGGGGGCTGACTTCCCACAGTATTTCATTTATTGCCCTGACTCTTATGAGAATATTATATAACATCAGAAAATTTCAAAAAAGCTGGATTGAAGAGTGGACACATAGTCTTTTTTATAAAAACAACAACAACAAAAAACCAAACAAAACCAAGTAAAATAAGTGACAAATTTATCCTTCCTCTCCTCTCCTCTCTTCTCCCCTCCCTCCCTTCCCTTCCCTTCCCTTCCCCTCCACTCCCCCCTCCCCATTCTTTTGGCCCATGTCTCGCTTTTTCAGTGATGCTTCATAACTGTCTAGTGAGAACTATTGGACTCTTTTGTTCTAGGTCCAGTTAGAGAGATTTTTTTGAAGAAAATTTAATATAATAAAGATGGTTTGAATGTTCTAGTTTCAGTCTGCCTTACAAAGTGATATGAGTTCAGGAAAAAACCAACAAACATTTGAATGTAATGATCATCTTTATAAATAGCCAAACTGCCATACAACTATTGAGGAAACATCTGGACTCAAAGAATCTCCTTGGAGAATTAGGAAGATGCCTCCCCTCCTCACTTTTGACACTGGGGGGCAATGTTGTCACATGAAACCCCACGGCCTCTACACCCAGTGGGGGGTGGGGTAGGGAATAAAACAAGTGTCATTAAATATTCTCTCATTCTGGAGTCATGTCATTTTTTTCTATGTTATTTCATTTCATTTCATGAGATCAAAACACCTCGTGAAAATTTCACATCTCCGGAGGGCATATTTCTTTGAACTTATATACCACTTCATAGTGCTTTACTCTCTATGTGGTTTACAGAGTCAGCATGTTGCCCTCAACAATCTGGGTCCTCATTTTACTGACCTCAGAAGGATGGAAGGCAGAGTCAGTCTTGAGCCAGTCAGGATCGAACTGCTGACAGGCAGCAGAGTCAGCCTGTAATCCCGCATTCTGACCCGGGCTCATTATAATGCAACTATAGGTTTCAAATTGTTCCTCTTGGCCTGCTCTGCATTATTGTTTTGGGTTTCTTCAAAAGAATGGGAAACAATTGTGAAACAAATACTTTGAACTCAGCTATTGTATATCATCTTTTTTTCAGGGTTGGTCTCTAATATGGCTATTTTAGGAAACTTCAGCACATGATTTCATTCTTTCCTCACTGAACTGTTTCTTGAAGTGAGGGAGTTGTGTTAGTTCTTGCTTTACTTACTTCAGTGTAAATATCTCCTTTCCCTGTGTACTGACAATGAAAGACATGATGGTCCAGACTGTTCCTAGGACAGAACCTAATGTGAAATCCACGTGAGAAATCTATGTGCAAAAAATTATATAACTAAAAGCAGTGATGTGGCACGTTTAGCCTTATGTAAATCGAGGCATAATTTCCGCTTTAAAGGAAGCAGTTGCTTTTCCTTTTCAGAATACACCATCAACTTAAAGTGTGTGGACTGGGGTGACATGATAACAGTATCCTAGTATTTGAGGGGCTGCCATAAAGAAGAGGGGGTCAACCTATTTTGCAAAGCACCTAAAGCACCTAAATGATAAAAACTGTCTTGAATGCATTTGGTCAATATAAAAGGGGGGAGAATGACATTGCCATAGGTGTATACTACAGACCACCCAACCAAACAGAGGAAATAGATGAACTTTTTGCTAGTCAGCTAACTAAGGTATGTAGGAAGCACATCACAATAGTAATGGGGGACTTTAACTACCCTGACATCAACTGGGAGACAAACTCTGCACCAAGTGGAAAATCAAACAGGTTCCTGGCAAACCTAGCAGACAACTCTGTCTCCCAAAAGTAGAGAAGGGAACTAGGGGATTAGCCATTTTGGATCTAATTCTCACTAACAGAGATGAAATGATAGACGGTGTTGAAGCCATAGGAACCCTGGGAAGAAGTGATCATGCAATATTAGAATTCAACATTATAGAAGCACAAGTAATAGAACACAGTCAAACTAGAGTCTTGCACTTCAAGAGAGCTAATTTCAATAAACTTAGAGAGGGCTTGGGAAGGATTCCATGGATGAGAATCCTCAAGGGGAAAACAACTCAAGAAGCTTGGGAAATTTTGAAAAATGAGATAATAAAAGCACAGTCTAGCACAATACCAACAAAGAGGAAAAACAACAGCTCCCAAAAGAAACCAGCATGGCTGCATAAAGAACTCTCTGACAAATTGAAAGATAAAAAGGACAAGTATAGAAAGTGGAAAGAGGGGAACATAACTAAGTCAGAATATCAGTAAATAGCCCGAGCCTGCAAAGATGAAGTGAAGAAAGCCAAGGCTCAAAATGAACTAAGGCTTGCGACCAAAGTCAAAAATAACAAAAAAAGCTTCTTTCAACATGTAAAAAACAAGAAAAAAGTGAAGGAAATGATTGGTCCATTAGTGGGTGGAAGTGGCAAGAAGATGACAAGCAACAGGGAGAAAGCAGAACTATTTAACTCATTTTTTGCATCTGTCTTTATACAAAGGGAAAAAACAGACCAACCTATCAAAAATAGTGCCATAAAAAACAAAACAGAAACACAAATTAAGATAGGCAAGAAAATGGTTAGTGAGCACCTGTCCAGCCTAGATGAGTTCAAATTGCCAGGACCTGATGGATTACACCCTAGAGTTCTCAAGGAACTGGCAGATGTGATATCGGAGCCACCGAACTATATTTTTCAAAGATCCTGGAACACAGGGGAACTACCAGGGGACTGGAAAAGAGCTGATGTAGTTCCCATCCTCAAAAAAGGAAAAAAAATGGATCCAGGAAATTACAGACCTATCAGCCTGACCTTAATACCTGGGAAGATCCTGGAAAAGATAATCAAACAACGAATCAACGAACACCTAGAGGCAAACAAAGTCATTACTAAAAGCCAGCATGGGTTTGTCAAAAATAGATCATGCCAGACAAATCTTATTGCATTCTTTGACCAAGTGACAAAATTAGTGGATCAGAGGAATGCTGTGGACATAATTTACTTGGACTTCAGTAAGGCATTTGATAAAGTAGATCACAACCTAATACTTGACAAGATAGAAAAATGTGGGGTAGACAGAACCACCACCAGATGGATCCATAGCTGGCTGACCGGCCGTACTCAGCGAGTGGTCCTCAATGGAACTGCATCTATATGGGGGGAAGTGTGTAGTGGGGTGCCCCAGAGCTCTGTTCTGGGCCCAGTACTCTTCAACATCTTCATCAACGATTTGGATGAAGGGATAGATGGGGAACTCATCAAATTTGCAGACGACACCAAGCTGGCAGGAATAGCCAACACTCCAGAAGACAGGCTTAAGATACAGAAGGATCTGGACAGACTTGAACACTGGGCACTAATTAACAAAATGAAATTCAATGGTGAAAAAAGCAAGGTTCTACATTTAGGCAAGAAAAACCAAATGCA